ATCAACAAATACTGCTGTGATTGACACAGAATTTGGCAGGAAAGTAGCATATATATTTATGCATAAAACAAAATAAATAATTATATACAGAAATGAAAACAATATTAAATTTTTGTACGTTATCAGATAATGACATACTGGAAACTTCAACAGAATTATGTATAAAGTGAAAATAAACAGCATAAAATAAAAAAAAAAGGACATTAATAGGGTATGTGATCCCCCCCTCATCTGTATACAAAGTTTACACCTTGTGACCATGCTTTCAATTAGGTGGTGAACCACCGCAGAATTAAGCAATCGCCATTCTTCTTGTAGAGCAGTTTCCAGCTCAATATGAGTAGCTGGAAGTGGAAAACATGAAGATACAGCACGGCAGAGAGCATCCCAAAGATTTTCAATGGGATTAAAGTTGGGCGAATATGCTGGCCACGTCATACGCGCAATCCCTTCACTCTCCAGGTAGTCATCGACGATGTCAGCTCTATGGGAAAGTGCGTTATCATCCATTAAAACAAAAGTAGAGCCAATTGCTGCAGCGTACAATCTCACAATGGGTTCTAGGACTTCATCTCGATACCGGACAGCCGTCAAAGAAACCCATTTAAAGATGTGCAGGTCAGTGTGGTTTCAATCCTGATTGGCTTCCGGAAATTAGCATTTTCCTCTCTGTGCTTAACTTTTGGAAGTGAGTGTAGTTCACTGCAAACAACACATTGGAGCTGGAGGTCCTTTTCATCTCCATTCCAAGTAATAATGATAAATAACTTTCAGTATATTTTGTATAAACAAGTTTTCATTTCAATATTCTCAGTGGTAGTAGATTGTCCTGGATCTATCACTTGTGAATTGTTACTTCTGTGCTGTTAATCCTAGCCTTTTTTTTTTCATTTTAAAAATATAGATTTGTTTTATCTTTCACTGATATTTAAAAAATGCACAATATATTACAAGTTCTTAAAAAACAAGCAACAATATTCTCAAATCACATAGAAAAGTAAGGATTGCAAAGCAACAAGTCAAAATACCTGCTGTTAGAGACAGCAAATCAATGTTAAAAAAAAAAAAGAACTAATGAGATACTATTATCTTTTTATAGGAACTTATTTTTATTTCCTATTAAATGCAACATCCATTTCAATTACACCTTTTAAAAACATCATTTATGACAAATTTTGTTATGTCTATGGCTAAAAGTATATTTATGAAAATAAAAATGGATGATTTTGCTAAAGTCTTATGAGCTGCTATTGGTTTTAAACAAAGCTCAGTTCGCACACATTTACAAGTGTTGGAGAAAAAAATTAATTATGATGTTGGGTTAATTTTTTAATTTCACAGTTAAAAATACTTTGTTTGTGTACCACCTATTTTCTCTTGCATACTACCGGTTGATAATTGGTGTTATAGAGAAAGGAGAATTATTAAGAAAATCCTTCCACTACTATTGAGCTTTCGGGAAAAGTACATTGGCATCATTTCGTAGGTAAGAGATACCTTACAGATTTCTGTTATCACAGAAGGTGAAGACTATTTGAGATTTTTATGATGGGAAGATTTTAAGAAAAGAAAATTGAACATTTATTAAAAATTATAGAAATTTGGTAAATACGACAGTTTTCCAAGTATTGACAGATATTGCTATTAATAGCCGGGTTTTTGCATTTCTACAATAACTACAAAAATTCTGAGGATATACTGAAGGGAGAATTCTCTGTACGAGATATTGAAAATTCAGAAAAGCTAACTTTTGGTTCAAAAGGAAGCTTTCTCTGAATAGTTTACACATGACAAATTAAAGACCCTTAACGTTTTCTTAGATGATGATGGATTGATTAGGTTACAAAGAAAAATTTTTGGAAGAGAAGGTGAAGAAAACTTAACGTCTATTGCTTGCCTTCGAATCATGAATTGGTGTAAAAAATAATTTATGAATGTCATCTGAATCTGTTGCATGATGGAGTGCATGTTGTTCCAGCTGACATTCGTCTATGATTTTGGGGTTTTGAGAGGAAGGAAGAGTGTCCAAAGAGTTATCATGTAATGTTCCTGGTTTAAAAAGTATTCTTCGAAGAAAATGGAAACTAAACCAGCTTCACTACCAGATTAGACTCATTAGAGATTGTGACTCATTAGTTTTTGAAATAACTGGAGTGGATTTAGCTGGACCTCTACACTTAAGGATAGAAGTAAGAGTTGGATTCACTTGTGCTGTGTCCAGAGCTATTCATCTGGAGTTGATTCAAAGCCTTTCCACCAATGTTTTACTGTTAGGATTACAAAGATTTATAGTGAGATGAGGCAAGCCAAAAAACTTATACAGCGATAGTGGGACAAACTTTAAAGGGGCTAGTAACTCTTTGGAGTCTCTCGACTGGGATATCTCGGGAAAGCTCCACATTGCGGAACCAAGGGATTTTCAACCCTCCTTCAGCTGCTTGGTGGGAGTAGATAGTTCAGATGATGAAGAAACTTTTAAGAAGGGTACTAGGAAAAAGCTTTCTAACATATGATGAAATGTACACAGTTTTATGTGATGGGGGAGCGGTCATCAATTTTCGACCTGTAACTTACTTATATGAAGATGCAGAAGATTTAATGCCGTTGACACCTTCCATATTTCTTCAAGATAATAAGATGGTAGGAGTGCCAGACTTGGATAATTTGAACAGTATTAATTTAACTAAAAGACATCGGTATCAACAAAAGCTACAGCAAGAGTTAAGAAGATTTAGAGAAGAATATTTAGGTCTTTTAATTCAACAGTTTCAATAAGAACAATCTGAGACAGATAAGTGTCGGTGAAGTTGTTCTGTTCGATAATAGAAAAAGTATATATTGGCCTATAGGTATAGTCACAGAGGTCTTTCCTGGAAAGGACAACCATGTCAGAGTACTGAAAGTAAAAACAGAAGTAGGAGAAATGATACACCCCTCTTCAACAGTTATATCCTTTAGAGATCACTAATCCAAACATTTTATTTAGAGCTGAAGAACTTGAACAAAATTTTGTGCCATCTTTTTTTTTTAATAAAGAGAACATTCCTCAGAAATCTGAAAACATTCAAAGGGACAGTAAAGGAACTGATTTTGAACTTAAAACTAAATGTGACAGAAAAATTGTCAAACCTTCTCGTTATGATTTTTTCTCTTAGTAGATGTTCTGTATTATTATGGATATTATTATTATGTAAGTATATGGAACAGGAAGTTTAAATTTTATTTTTGTTTAGTTTTGATTTTTATAGAGCATTGTAAGAAAATCAAGAGGTGGGAACATCTAGGAGCTCCATGGTTTAACCCTTTAGCAACGGTGCACCTTTGTGTAAGACGCTCGTGCGGGACGGAAGAGAATCGAAGGCAATCACCGTACAGGAAACTGTTAAAAAGAGAGAAAACTGTTAAAAAACTGGTCAATAAAAAGTACTTAAGTGCGATAAGTATGCCTTAATGAGCTGAATGAACTACAAATGAAATAAATGGAGTGGGAAAATTTCCTTATGTGATAATGTTTGTATGAAACAAAATATTAAGAGTAATTTTCCGAGAAAGGTTGTCTCAGATATTTAATTTTCTTGAGGCAAATTTTTGCAGAAATTTTAATTCCCTATATTTTGTATAATTATTATTATTTTTTTTTTTTTTTGCTATAACTCATCAAAGGAAGAAAAGTATATAATTTGCTTTGCATTAGTGATGCATACCTTTAATATTTGCTGCAAGTTACTAAAATAAGTCTAGTAGCATGAAGATATTCTTATAATAAGCATATCTGTATATACCATAAAAATACAGTATGTCTGAATATTTACACTGCTGGCCATTAAAATTGCAACACCAGGAAGGAATGATCTGATGAACATCAAAATCACATGAAAGGAAGAAGCAATATGTTATGCGAATGATTAGTATTTCAGCGCATTTAGACAACGCAGGAGGGGGAAACGGCATTTGAAGCATTGCATAAAAGTTGTGTAGTGGATTTCTTATTCGGAAAGTGTTTGTAAGGTTAGAGTTTTTTCAGAATATCATGTTATGCATCGAATAAGAAGAGGAAATGCTCACCAGCAAGTTTCAAAATTTGATAGAGGCAGGATCGTTGCCTATTGAAAGTGTAAATTATCGTTCCATGATATAGCTGGTCACATTTTAAGTTTATTATTAAAAGAGGTTTTCTTAGACATCCATTTCTCAACCGTTAAGGGTTGGATACTTTTTCACAATTAAATAGCTAGCATCTTATTCATTACCACAGTGCTTTTTGTTTAGAGACTGACATGGTGTTGTTATTACTTATGCTCCCTTGTCTGGCAGTAATATCAGCCCAAGCTTACAAAATTCCTCGTGGCAAAGGAGCGCAAGATATGCCTGTCATTGGCAACATCCTTGAGCACCTTATAGGTAACAGTGTGATTTAGCTCAGTTCCGCCCCCAATTTTAATGGAGAGCACCCCGGGGGATCGGGTCTGAGGGTCTCCCACCCTTCTCCCCTTCCATCAAACCCCACTAGAAGACTTTCGGCTCACCACATATTTAGAGTGCCGCCATGCCCCACTGACACTATACATTTACAAACATCTATGTCTTCTTTGGGATTCGAACCCAGGTCTTTTGGCACGGCAGTCAGTGACTCTAACTACTATACCGGTTGGGTGGCCGACTGACATGTTTATACTACTAAGATGTTTTTGTTCTTAAAATGATTGAATACTTACCTTGAATTCTTGCTTTTCATATATGTTAATCAATATTGCTGAGATGGTTAATGTGCAGAATTTCTGTGAAGTGCATTAAATGAAAAAATGAAAACATACATTTAATATGAGAAATATTGTTTTTTTGGTGGAGGGAGAATTAAACAGCAGTAACCTCTTTTTTTTTTTTTTTTTTTTTTTTTGTGTGTGTGTGTGTGTGTGTGTTTGCAGTTTTGCAATGCATACATTTTCCTCCTATTAACTTACAATAATCTAATTTAATTTCACACTGCATTTTTTTTTCAGGTGCGGCGTAAATCAACAAAACATGTGTATGCTATGAAACTTTTAAGTAAATTTGAAATGATTAAAAGGTCAGATTCTGCTTTTTTCTGGGAGGAACGTTTTATAATGGCTAATGCAAATTCAGAATGGATCGTAAAGGTATGTCCCATTTTAAAAACTGTTTTGTTATTGATTTTAATTATTTCTATGCAGTTTTGAGTTCTTTTGACATAAAAGTACCCTTTGTTTGTGACTAATATCTTGTTTAGCAATAACAAACTAATTACACATTATGCTTGTTGCATATCCATAAAATTTAGTTGATTAAAAGGTACAACTTTGTAGAATGAATTTTTCGTTCTTGATTGGTGGTCAAAATGTAATGTTTTTCTAGAGAAGGCAACATTCTCTTTTTCATCAACTGACTAACTCCATAATCCCATTAGGGTCCTTTATGAAAAAGACAAATATACTCAATATGAAAAAAAAAAAAGAACACTAAATGTGGAAGTTAGGTACACAGGGAATGTTAACCCTCTGACTGCTCAATTTGTGGACTGAAATCGCTTAAAAAATAGTGCAATTTTTTTGTACATATTTTAAATCTATATGTAATGGAGAATTGAAAAATGCATTTTTCGCTTCTAGAAAATATTTTTTTATATAGATTTTTATCATGAGAAACTAAGTTGCCAGAAAAACCAATTTCAGATGTTATCACCCCCCCAAAATTTTTTTAAATAAATTTCAATCGAATTACAGTTAATTTCTATTTATTGCATAATATAAAAAAGTAAGATATATAAAATTCAAGAAAATATAAATAAAGCTTTGAAGAAAAAATACCTTAGAAATGCAGCTTAGTATGATAGAGTTCAAAACAGGGTTCAAGGCAAAGTCCAACTTCACAGTCTTTGCACCAGATTCGATAAATCTAATTAACAATCAGTCTAATTATTAATCTAATCAATAAATCTAATTAATAATTTAATTAAATAATCAAGATAATCGCTGAATGTTTTCTAGCAGCCATTTCTGTAAGAAAAAAGTGCAAAAAGTGGAGTTTGAGCGGTAATACCACCTGGCTTCAAATGCCGCAATTTAGTGGACAACTAACAATATCTGTTGGCCAAAACATAAACTAAACGTCTAATACTGTATACAATTTATTTCAGTGTTTAAACGGGGCAAAAATGGGATGCGCTCCTTAGTAAAGGAAGAAAAACACATGTCCGCGGAAATCCCGGGATGAGCAGATTTTGCGACTTGAGTTGCCCGTGGAAATCGCGGGACGAGCAGCCAGAGGGTTAAACACCGTTCTGACTCCAATAAGATTAATATTTATTTACATTTTTTGGAAATAGAATTACACAGACAGAAAATCAGTCATTGTTCTTTTTCTACTTGAAGGCTTAGTGTTGCTACTTTGCGAAAAGAAAATTACATGTGAAGAGTTTCACGGATTTTGCTTCATTAACGCAAGTGATGTTGCCACACACCCCCTTCCCAGTGATATCATTATATCTCATAATCTTTTAGGTATGCAGGAAATCTCACCCTTCTTCCAGCTTTTGTGTTTGTAGGATGAATATCTTTGGAAGAATCATTGTCTCCAGGAAGTGGAGGTGAGATTTTGGAGTTATCAGCTTCATGTGTCTGGAGATTTGTTGTTATTTCATTTTTGAGACTGAAACCTTCTGTCTATTGATATCGTTTTAATTTTACCTGAAACTTCCACATTGAAAAATTTCTCAAAACGTTTTTTTAACTAAATATGGTCTAAGATAGGGTTGTTGAAGAGAAGTCCTTGTGTATGAAAATTGGTTTTTTTTCTTGGGTGGTTGTTGGAGTTGGTTTTAGGTTTTGGATGTGACTTTGCTATTTTTGTATAAAATCTGAATGCATAATAGTGGGGACATAACTGAAAAATTCTCCAGGCAAACAGATTGGTGAACCGTAAACAAGTTCAGTAGAAGAACAATGCAAATCCTCTTTAATGGCGGTTCGAGTGCCAAGAATAATCAAAGTTAGAACATCAGTCCAAGAATTTAATGTTTGCTGGTGGGATTTTAGGCTGTTTTTCAAGGTTTGATGTTGTCGTTCGATTAAACCATTAGATTGTGGATATTAAGCCGTTGTGCTGTTCGCCTTGAAGCCTGGGTATTTGCTCAAGTATCTGAAGAGTTGGCTGTCAAATTGCCAACCTTGGTCAGATGTTATCTTCTCTGGGATTCCAAATCTCGAAATCCAAGTCGCAATGAGGGCATGTGCAACAGACTCTGCGGTTTGGTCTTCCTGAGGTACAGCTTCAATCCACCGAGTGAATCTGTCGATGATGGTAAATAGGTACCTAAAACCTTTGCAAGATGGTAAATTGCTAACAGTATCAATATTAAGGTGCTTGAAACGTTGATTGGGAACTTTGAATTCGGCAGCTGGAGCGTGGGTATGTTTGTGAATTTTGGCCCGTTGGCACTGGAAGAATGCTGTAGACCACAACTGACAGTCTTTGTTTATGCCAGGCCAAATGAATCTTTTTGTCACCAGCTTTGTTGTTGCACGAATTCCAAAATGGGATAAGTTATGTATAGAGAAAAATACTTGTTCTCGAAATTCTTTAGGAATGTATGGCCTGTTAAAATTAGTAGAGCTATCACAATAAATTTTCTTATTGCCATCCAGAATAGGAATTTGTACTATTTTGAAACTGGAATTTGATTTAAGAATCCCGAGGTCTTCATCTTCCTGGCAGTATCCGGGTAAACCAGTGTGGAAGTATTACACAGGGAATGTTAAACACCGTTCCGACTCCAATAAGATTAATATTTATTTACATTTTCTGGAAACAGAATTACACAGACAGAAAATCAGTCATTGTTCTTTTTCTAGTTAAAGGCTTAGTGTTGATATTCTGGCGAAAAGAAAATTACATGCGAAGAGTTTCACAGATGGCGCTTCTCACCACACTAAACAGAATAATGATGGCTGTATTTCAAAATTGCAAATTTGCATACTTAAACAGAAGTGTGCTGTGTGCATACCTGGTTGCCATATAAATGTTTTTTGATAGTATTGTGGGCTGGAATGTAACTGTTTTTATGATATACTGCATAAGCTCATGAATACATTTTCATGACTTTTCAGCGGGGAAGCATAATCAAGAACTAACAAAGATATTGTAACAACTAACAGAAGAATTCACAACTAGTTAATAATTGTTGAGTTTACATATTTAGCATATGAGACAAACAAAAAAAAAAAAAAAAAAAAAGACTTGCATGTTAGTTGGTACCTGCCAATACATTGTCAACAGTGTTAATACAGCCTTTTGGTAATGAAATGTGTTTTCATTATTGGCAGATTAATTAAACTTTTTTTTTTAAATTTCCAGCAAGTATTGTTCGGCAGTCACATTCAGAACTCTACCAGATTGTTATTTTCAGTAGCTGTGTGTACTCATATGAACTCAGTTAAATAAGAAGGCAGGTGACTTTTTTCGAACCAGTGTCCTGTTTCCTGTTCTTACTCTACACGTTGATCAGAATAATGGACACTATTTCCCCACTGTGCATATATCATAACATACAGTTTCATTTGCATAAAAGTATGAACATTCATGATTTTTTTGGCAAAGTATAAAATACTTGGAAATGATGGAATTCCTCTGGTGCATTTCTGAGTAAATATAGTAGTTAATGCACAATTCAAAATGCAGTAAAATTTAATGTGAGATGAGCAACCGTTATGCTAAGACCATTTCATGGATAATGTTTACTCAAAAAAGTAGATATTTATTTCCTTTATTTCCTTTAATTAATCTGCAATTGATATTGATATAAAGAATATAAATGATATAAAGCTATGATATAAAATCTATGATATAAAGCTCCCTTAGCTGCCCTCACACAAAGAGAGGTCGCAGATATAACAAAAAAAGGAAAGAAAAATATAAAATTGCTTTTTTGTTTAGAATAATGAGCTGGACAGCAAATTGTGCTCTTGAATTATGGTTGTAAATTTGCGAAGTGTACTGAACAAAATCTTATTCTGCAAATAATTTCTTTCTCCCGAAAGACTTTAGAAGTAGACCATTCCTCATTTGCTAATTGTCGTATTGTAAAGTTCATCAGGGTACCTTCTTAAAATATTTGTTATGAGTCAGAGAAGTGTAATGAAAAATGTGTCAGAGAATGTGTTATGAGTCAGAAAAGTGTTTGCTGCAGTGCTGAAATAGTACAGATATTTTATTTCTGAAAATTTATCATCTGCATTTTACTTTTAGATAATTTATTTTATTTTTTTTAAGGCCTTTTCATCATTTACTAATTTTTTCTAAATGAATTTAGTTCTTGTTTTTATCTAGATAAAGATAGTGCCAGAAAAATGGAATATTTTGAATAATGTTTTTGAAAGGGCAAGTGTCAAATTTGTACTCTACTTGCATTATTTAGAATGAAAGGATAATGTTTACTGTTACAAATTTGGTACATAGATGATTTTAGTGCAGTTATATATAAAATTGTAATTTTTTTTGTGTAATGTAATGTGAAAAATCTAAAGAGAAAAACTATGCCGGAAAAGTAAGAATACAGTGTCAAGTCCATTTAACATTGAGTAAATGTCTATCTCGGTAATTTGGCAAGATATCTCCAAGCTGACAACAATTTTGGCAGCTTATTTGATCGCCAAATTTGGAGAAAAATCGCCAATAGTCTCGAAACTTGATGACCACTGGCTATGTTTTGCTCCAGTCCCTGTTTTACTGTAATAGGTATTGTAATCGAATTTATCACTGTATTAAATGTAACCGTAATTTGACCCTCATGTTTCTTTCCAGCAGTTTTGAGAAACAAAGTGCTAGAAATATCTCGGCGGCCGGTTGAAAACTATATAAAGCTGGAAAGAGCATCTGCTCTCAGTTATTGTTGCAAGTTGTTTGTGAACTGAGATATCTCCATTAGCTTTCTCTTTAGATGTATGTGCTGTGCATTGCGTTGCATTTAATGTTCTTAGTAGTTTGAATTGTAAGTACTGATTTTACTATGTGGTACTGTAAATATCTGTATGAGGATTTCTGTGGAAAACTCCAGAACTTTGAAGTATTCCTTTTGATAAAAGTAAATGTTATTAACCTATCATCGGACCTGTGTGTATTTAAT